CTCAGGCTTTCTGAACAATCGATTCTTTTTATTGCTTTCATTGTGTTTTGGGAGAGAAAAGGTCTGATGTTGTTCACATCATCATCATCATCATTTTCACTGACTGATGCCACCTCCGAAGTTACGGCTGGGACTAACTGACCATCTCGGCCAGTTGCACCCAACTGAGTAGTGGGAATTGCAACATGGCATGGTGGTTGTTTTTCTTAAAGGAGCTCCTTATTCTCCACCTGTCTTATCCTAAAACCCATGACCTTCAGCCAGACCCTTATTTGGGAAGTAATTTTGCATTGTTGGCCTTTCAATGAAGAGTGCCACATCACCTTCCTGCATCCTAACAGCTCACTCTCCTCAGTATGGGACAAGCCCCTGAAACGGAGCTTTCGGCACTGGGTAATGAATGGACCACAATTAAATGCCTTTTTCCCTGTCATCTGCTTATTGTTTTACGGTATTGCCATTTCATGCACAAACCTCAATATTTGAGGGCAGCAGGTATTTGCAATCCAGCTCATTTCATTTCCATTGTGGGAGCTGTCTTTCATTGTTTTTTTAATAAGTTTCTTACACATGTGTACAATTGAACTCTTTGATGAAGTTTGCTTTGGGGACTCATTATAGCAGGAAACATCAAAATCCAACAGATATTTGAGTTTATACTTAAAATTTGATGTGGTATCCAGGGCGGGCCATCGTGTTTGGCAATGGCTCCAACTGCCCAATATTGCAACTGAAATGGAGGCCCAATAAAGTAGACAAGTGGCGTGGATAGTACACAGAAGGTCAAAGTTGACTAGGGGAACTCAAGTACTTAAAACGTTGTATTTCATCTCCTGAGTATCTTTTCATCAGGTATTTACACAAGCATTGGCCTTTTTGCATTCCTATGTAATATCAACTATGGCCTATTTGACTTGATTCTTCTCATTCATTTGAAAAATGAGCATCCTGCTTCACAACCCCTTACTTATTAGTAGTGTCCTTAAGGAACTCAGGAAGAGACCACACGCTTTCAAGAGTTGCTTGTACTTGAGGGCTCACAGGGTCGCAAGTGGTTATTTCATACTTTCCTGGAGTCAAATATGAATCCTCCATCTGTTCCTCCAGTTTTAATAAACGGATTGTGTGGGCCTAGGCTTTTTCTTAACTTCTGACTTTGTTCACGCTTGAGGGGCTGGGCCATCTGTGGGCAGAGTCTGGGCAGCGAGTCCTGGGCTTGGCTTCTCTCTGTGCTCTCAAATTATTTTCCATTTCTTTGACATCTTTCTCATTCGAGACGGCAAATGTACCATTGTGCTATGGAAGTTGTAGTATTCGGTGACAGGGTATTATGAGTTCTTTGTGCGCATAATTCCATGTTATGAAAACCTTTCACCAACTTCTTAAATTGGCTGGTTTGAAGTGCACATTGTGTTATGGCATAATCTGTATTATTAAGAACATGAACTTGGGGAATTAGCATTAGATCTTTGAGAAAGAAGTGGGAATTCAAAAAGAATGACTTGCCTTCATTCTTCAGCCCTGATTTAGGGCACATTATTTAACATGTCATTTCTTCTAAGTGTTTGACTTCAGTTTCTTATGGGGCTTGCTGAGATGATTTCAAAACTTTGTTTAACTATCTTTGGGGAGAATTTACTAAGATATGCTTTGAAGAAAATAACCTTTTCTTCAATTGCTACTATTTCTGAATGATCATTCACAATAGATGATTTATGATAACCCTTGCAGATAATTTGTAATAAAGAGTGTTGCAGGCGAGACACTGTACAGGGAGAATAATAGAGACCCAGCTTCTCTCTTTTAGGTGCTTGCTATTGACAACAACAACAACAACAAACAGTAGAAGATCTACTGACAATTGAGCATTCCTTATTGGCTAAATGAGTATTTCTTCAACAGAACTTGATGATGTATAAATTCTGATTTTATTTCATGAATTAAGACACACCATCACACTAAACTCACTCAAACCCATTGCCACCAAGTCAAGTCAGATTAAAGTGACTCTACAGGGCTGAGAAGCACAGTCCCAGAGGGTTTCCAAGGCTGCACATGTGGACTTCTTTACGGAAGTGCACAGCCCATCTTTCTCCATTGGAGTAGCTGGTAGGTTTGAACCACTGACCTTTTGGTTAATGGGAGAGTACTTTAACCACTGTATCATCAGGGCTCCTAAGAAATTCAAGAATTTGAGGGGTTCTTAAGAGCTCTTGGCCACTTTTAAACCCAATTAGTTAATTTTATCTTAATTTATTATATTCATTCAAATTATCTTAAAGGGTACTTTCTCTGTGGCCAAGCCCTTTGCTACATCCTTGAATTAGGTAGTTAGGGCTGTGTAACAACTTACTCCAGCCCTTAGTGGTTAAAACAGTACCTTGGTGGTTTTCATTTGCTGTCTCATGAGATGGTAGTCAGGATGTGAGTGGAGGTTGCCTTCATCTGAAGGCACGACGGAGTTGGAGGATCACTTTCAAGATGGCTTGCTTACATGGATGGCAAGTAACAACTACACACTGTCACCAGGGAGCAGCTTTTCCTTGCCACTCAGGCTGCTTGAGTGGCCTGAGGACAATGTTTGCAGGTTTCCCCCAGAAGAAGTGGCCTAGATCCAAGGGAGACTAGGGGAGAAGATGAATGTCTTTTGTGACCTCACCTAGGTACCGTGTTGATTACAGAGGTCAACCCTACTTTGTGTGGGGATTCTATAGCAGGGCATCAAGACCAGAAGATGAGAATCAGGGAAGTCCTCTTGAAAGCTAGTTATCGTTAGAGATTTGCAGGTAAAGTTGGCGACGTCTATTCGTTTTCTTTTCCCTGGCTTGGTTGAGTGAGCAGGTGCTCATTGGAGAGGTGCCGTTGAAGTCAAGAAATAAGTCAACTCACTAGAGCAGAGTCTGGCAGAGACCCCCAGTTCCTTCTATGTTACAGTGTACTAGTCTGTTGTCTTCCAACACCACACCTCTGAGTCTTCTTCTTCCGCCTTCACAGCATTTCCTCACTGAGCTCTTAGTTATTGAGTTAACCATAGTAATAGGAATAACCTCAGTACAAGAAAAGAAAAATCAAACGTTTGGTTTTCAACCTCCATTTTGGGTCTGACCTCGGCCCCCATGTAGTAGGATTCTAAGCAATGCCCGCCCCCCCCACCCCACACCAACAGTAATTCAAACCCATTTCCTTGGGTAAGTGCTGACTCATAGGCCCCTGTGGTTGCTGTGAGCTGGAATACGATCCTATTGTCTAGCAAATTCAAATCGGTTGGAACCGCCTCACGTGCACTGGAGGCAGCCTTCTCTACAACCATCACTGACCTTCCCAAGAAATTACACCTAACGGTATTATTCCCACTGGTTAATGGCATTTGGAAATGGTTTAGACTGCAGCGGTTCTCAACCTGTGGGTCGCGACCCCTTTGGGGGGTCGAACGACCCTTTCACAGGGGTCGCCTGATTCATAAGAGAAGCAAAATGACAGCGATGAAGTAGCAATGAACATAATATTATGGGTGGGGGGTCACCACCACGTGAGTTACTGTGTTAAAGGGTCATGGTATTAGAAAGATTGAGAGCCACTGGTTTAGAGGGAAAAGGCAATGACGATCTCGAAGTGAATCGGTTTACTTTAGTTAGGGATTTGCAGGTAAGCCTCTGAAAGAGTGAGACAGCAATTAGGGAAGAGAATAATAGTAGTAATAGCAATAAGCATCACTGTGCATATATAAGGCCAGCCACTGTAATCAGAAATTTACTTGCGGTTGAGTTTTAATTTTTTCAAATGGCAACCTGTTAAAGAATAGTGTTACTCAACTATACACTAAAACAAAACCCACCCACCCCCACCAAAACAAACCAATGCAGCGAGCCAATGGGAGCAGGCAGCCGCCTGTTTCTCCTGCGCAGTGGCTTTGGTGGGCTTGAGCCACCAACAGTCTGGTTAGCAACCCAGTGTCAGAGCCGCCGCCACTGTCCCGGGAGGGCTCCTTGACTTGACTCTTAAAGTATCTGCCCGGAAGTATCTGCCTCGGTCCTGAATCAACTGAACAAACGGAGATCCAAATACCAGTTTCCAGAATCAGCCCCCTCTCTAAAATCGTGAGGATGGCCCAGGGCTGTGCAGCGTTTCGTTCTATCGTGCATAGGGTCTCTGGGGGTGCATTCGAGGGCACTAACACAATAATGACTAAGGCGCCTTGGCCCCATGGGACTTCCCTGGATAGACAGCACCTGCAGGGGAGGAAGGCTCCCGTCCCCGCCCCCGCCCCCGTGGAAGGTGGAAAAGGAACTGAGGAGTCATGCCTATGTTTTCCTTCCAAGTCGCTCCATGAGCAAGGAGAGAGGTTGAAACGACTCCATGAATTGATGATCTGACACACAGAAGGTTAGGACTAGAGGTCTCCCTGCTTGAAAGACTCTCGCGTTTTTATCGTGGAAGGGTTTAAACCTGAGCCATTTAGTGATTATGGAAAAACCACATTAGCAGAGGAGACTCAGTTACCGCCAGTGGAATTTGTCGTTTATCCATTAGGCGTGTTTCTTATCTTCAGACTCAGACACTGAGCTGAGTGTTGAGGTACGGTGTCCAGGGAGCTGGGAGGCAGGGTGTGAGGACAAGATACTGGAAGCAAAGAGAGAAAGTGCCGCTGCTTTCGGAGAACAGAGAAAGGCGCACCATCTGTCCCACCCGGCTCCTTGGGACAGGTGTTACCAGTTGTCCTCTGGGCGGCCACCCTCCACCCTGCTCAGCTGCCTTTCATGAGCTCCTGAGGGTGGGACATATGAAGATAGGTCTTGGGGCGGGGGTGGCGGGGGGTGGAAACCTCCACAGTGAGCTTCCAGAGAGGTTGGGGGTCATAAGCGTCAATCCTGGGCTGACTGTGGGCAGCAAGGAGGAATAACAGCATTAGAGGGGAGCCGGGATGTTGTAGTTGATGATATTGTTTTAAGTTGATGATGCATTTGGTACCCATCTGATGTGCAAATGAAATTGTTTTTCAGTTTATGTGCAAGTATTCTCTGCCTTGATCGTGATCATCTCCGGGGCCTTTATTATCACTATAATTTACAGGTCAGTCACTTTTTATTATTTCAAGTTTAAGGCCGGAACTTACAGGGTGGGAGAAGAAAAGAAATCCAAGCCATTTAAGTACAGCCCACTGACACTACCTTCACCCTTATCTTCGGCCCCACCTGCTCTACCTGCTCCTTCGGGTTTGATGCTGAGGGAAAACACGGACTCATACACTTATGACTATGTGAAGAGGTGAGCTGTCTGTATTGGAAGCACCTGACCTTATTTTCTCCTGAGCTATTGTTAGTAACAGTGATAACATAACCAGCCTTTACCAAACACTCCACATGCCCACCGGGTCATCTCGGTTAATCCTGACAAGCACCTCCTGGCAGAGGTGTCGTTCCCACTGCCAGGGAGTGGATTCCCACTCATAGTGGTCCTCTTGAGGATTTCTGAGATTGTACATCTTTATAGGAGCAGAGAGCCTCATCTGTCCCCATTTGGTGAGTTTGAACCATCAGTTGGTGAGTTTGAACCATCTACCTTGCAGTTAGCATGACCCATGCCAAACTAAAGGTGCTGTTAGTGTCCCCTTATTCAGACGCTTAGTCTCAGTACCAAGGAAGCTTAGCCATGTGCCAAAGTCTCAGTTCTTACAGAGTAGGGCTGGGAATTTAACTCAGGCCATGTGTGTCCCAAGCCCATGATGGCTGTTTTGTGTTCAGGGCTCACATATTTGGCTATGTCCTTTGAAGTCCTATTGGTAGAAGGCGATATATAGTTCGGAGGTATCTCAGAGGTGAATCTCTCTCCTGTCATTTTAATGACGATGAACTGGAGACCCAGAAAGACCAAGACACTTGGTCCTGTCTTCCAGCGCCAGTTCCCTCCGTGGATCAGAACTGGGTTTTCGATCTCATTTTAGGACCAGGCTGTTTGTGCCACAAAGCCTCTGCTTGTGACACACCACTCATGAACTGTGAACAGCGGCCTCGGTCACTTTGTCTGACAATCCAGAAAAGCCACAATCCTAATAGAAGGGATGCTGGTCGGGTATTTTGACGGGTCTAACTATAACTTTCAGCACAGCATACAGCTTTGCCACCCCCATTTTCTGTCCCAGGGAATCTTGATGCCACATATGAAACATCTATTTGGAGCATATATCAAAAACCAAAATGGGAAACTTGGAGGCAAAACATCTATCTTTAAAAAATAGGCATGCACAAGTACGAAACCTGTGTTGTAAGAGGGGGGTCCTAGAATTGTTCCATTTTTTTGTTTCTCTGATTGTGATAAAAACTCTCTTCCCATCAGAGTTGTTCAAGAGAGTAGGCGAGAAAAGGAAGTCTCTAAGAACACAAGTTCACCAGGCAGTGATAAATTCCCAAACAGTGGTAAGACATCTCAGGAGTCATCTGTGCTGACAGGACAAAAAACGTCATCCTCAGGAGAAAGTAAGCTCACCTTTTCATTCTTTTCAGGTTTAGAGCAAAGAGCATCGCTTGATTTCCCTGCAACATTTCATATGTGAAGAACATTCCATCATTTTATTGGCACTTCCACAGAAGTTTATACATTTTATTTTCCGTTTTGTATCCAAATCGCGGGACTCTGCTCCCAATGTGTTTCCTGCTTCAGAAACACATGATCTTACATAAACATTCTCTTCCAGCTAGCTAGGCACCTCACCCCCACTGCATGCGGGGAATGAGTGTGCGTGTGTGGGCTGAGGGTCAGTGGGCTGGAGTGAAGAGGAGGCAAATCTGCAGAAAGAGTCCAATCAGGGGAACCTCCCCACCATTTGTGCTGTGAAAGTGACTTCCTCCTCGGGGGCCCTCTGGCCACTCTGGTGGTGGTGCTGGTTAAAATGGTGTGAAGAAGAGTTAAATATTTCTCTGGTTTTCACCAAGCTAGGCAGTCGCTATAGTTACTAACACTTTTAGGAGGTCTTTCTAGTGCCTTGTTGTTGTTTATATATTAGCCACTTGCAAAGTTAGAGAAACCTTCCACGATGTTTGTATGGAGATCATAGGGGTGTTTATGATGCATTAGTCACATTTACTGCATGCTTTCCTGGAGGGAGTGATCGATAAGGAAAAATTAAATGTGACCCACCTTTCCATCAGATCTGGAATGCTGTGGCCCTGTCAAAATCAGTGCCTATGTAAGTGACACTTCCCCATAAGGCACAATATTTACCTTCTCGCCTTTCTGTATACTGGAGCAATAACCTCCAAAGGCTCTTTGAAAGAGCTTTTCTCATCTCTGCTATGAGAAACGTAGGGTTAGGATAAGGTCACCTACCGTACCCTGACCTTACCATAGTGGCCTGTAAATAAGAGCCAATTGTAGGTCATGTAGATGTGTTCAAAGAGCGTGATGGCACTTCATTGGATTGATGACTATTCCACTGCAATGTTTTTAATACAGCGGAAATATTAACAATATCACAAGCTGAAGAATCGGAGGGATGAAATGTATTATAAGGAGCAAAGCCTGATGGAATTACCCAAATGAAACTGCACAGCTTGTGAAATGTGTGATGGGACCACCTAATGAGAAGAAAAAAAAGATATTTTAAAAGTTGCTTCTGGCTTATTGCTTTATTTGATGCTATATGTTTGAACTATTTTAGTATCTTTTTTAATGCAACATATCTAGAATCTTGTTAATTCACCCCATAATATAAAATTGACTCATGAGATTTTAAACTTGGTTTTGGTACAACATTTTGAAATCGGATGTGTACTTTACACTTCCACTACATCTCAGCTTAAGGCTAGGCATAGTTCAAGTGCTCAGTAATCAAGTGCTTGTGGTTGGGAGCTGACCCCAACTCCTGAAGATATCCCATACACCCATGGGCTCAGGCCCTTGGGAGCTCTAGGGTGGATATCTGGCGCCCTATCTGGAGCTCACCTAGAGAACATCACGGAGGGCAGGGCAGCGTTTCCTTCTGCTGAACACAGACTCTCTGAGTTGGAGCGGATTCAGTGGCACCCAACAACATACAACATACATATGCATGACGGTGTGTAGATAATATGCACGCATACATATGGACATATATATTTTATGATTGGCAGTTTACACACAACATTATTTGCCAAGTCAACATTTTCAAGGTGTACAATTTAGGTATTTGTTTAAATGGGTTTTTGGTTAAGGTGATAGATCATTGGGGTTGCTATGAATCGGAAATGACGGGGTGGCACCTAACATGCACCGGGACGATTACTGGAGCAGCATGAAGAGCCGAGAAGGGCGGAATCTTCAACTATCACTTGCTGAAATCCTCCAGTCTGCAGTAAAATGAATTTTGGCGTCAGAGTGACTAGCAAATGCTAATTATATACATACACATTTGTATGTGTATGTATACAATTATACAGCTCAAGAAAGTTTCTTAGAATCTCGTGTGTTTTACCTTAGATTTTATTGGAAGAACTTGCATTCTCCAGTAGAACAGTAATTCGTATATCTATAAGTCACAGGCTTTAACATTTAAAATTGTGTTATTAATATTTTAGAATTCATTGGATTTTGTTATTCTTGGGAATACACGCAGCAGAACATACATCATTTGCTCATTTACATATACACTGCAGTGACTTTGATGACATTCTTCAAGTTGTACAACTGTTCTTTTCTGAGGTGTTCTGCCGACATAAATATAAACTCACCGCACCCTGGGGTCCCTATCTAATCTTTCCAATTGCTGTTGTCAATATGATTCTATACAGAGATATCTGCTTCCCCCCAAAGCTTTAAAAAATAAGTTTTATCAACATATAATTCATATATCATGCAATTCAGTGGTTTAAATATAAGATCATTGTACAGGCATGACTACAATAATTTTTAGACCATGACCTTCATTTTTGTACTAATTATTATGGGTCCCTATTTTCTTCCAATCTCCCCTGCCAGAACCTTAAGGAACTATTATTCCAGTTACTGTCTCTATAGAATTGCATATACTGAATTTCATATAAAGAAAAACATCCCGAAAAAAACAAACACTAAAACACTAACAATAGCAATAACAAAAAACAAAAACCTCAATAAGAAAGAAAGCAGAAAATAATAAAAGCCAGAACAAATTTAAAATGAGTCGAAGTGGGAACAAATGATAAAGGTTAAATTTTAGTTGAATTACATCTGCATTAATCTACTTTCCAGTGCACTCATCGGATAACAAAGCTATTCACATCCCTGCTCAATGGGGAGAGGGAATTTCTTGCAGGCTTAATTCATGTGGGGACCTTATACATTTTGGGCTTTCACTGTCATCCATAGCCTTCTGCACACCAGGTTTTCAGAATTAGCTTAAATGTAATTCCTTCCTCTGGCATTGGATTTTATTATTTATAACACAGGATGGTGTGCTTCTTCCAGGTGAACTTAGCTGATATCCCAATTATATTGCTGCTTGTTTAAGACAAGACTTTAAGACCCCAGATGCTATTCTTTGATAGCACCATCTGATTTCGTCACCACAATTTGCTATAGTACTAATAGCTTTAGTGAGCAAGTTGGGCCATGTCATGAGAACTAGAGCTACAATTAAGCGTGAGTTCTAAATCCATTCATTTATTCATGGGTTGTTTATGTTCCTGGTCCACTTTAGAGCCATCTTTTTCATTTTACTGGGGGACATTATACTGTAAGTCATCTCCATGGGCATATAGTACTTCTATTGATAGTATTATGTAGCCAATGGTATAGAAGTGATATAGAATTTAAAATACTGTTGAGAAAAGGGTAGTATACATGGATAAGACAGTTTCTTAGACTAAAATCCATGGATGGTTGTACAGATTTAAAACTTAAGTTAGATTGAAATGTAATACCTTATCATTTGCTCTTCCTTTTGACCGATTTTAAAGTTGTTTCACTTTTTAATTATTTTCTGCTTTCTTTTCAATTGAAGTTTCCCTAATCAGTTTTTTTTTCTTGTTTGTGTTGTGTTTGATTTTTCTGTATATGAAATCCAGGATAGGTAAATCTATAGAGACAAGAACTGGCGTAATAATTATCTAGGGGCATGGCAAGGGGAAGTTGGGGGAAATGGGGCTCTAACAATAATGAGTAAGGTAAGAAATTGTTCTAAAATTGATTGTGGTGAAGAGTGGACAACTCTTAATATGTTTGAATGATTAAATTGTATGACATGTGCTGTCTATGACAATAGAACTGTTTAAAAATAAAAAATAAACCATAACTCATCTCCTTAAAAAAAGACAACAAAAAACAATTTACATGATTGGCAATAGGACAAAGTTTTTGTAAATGCTCATTCACAAAGCCAGAACTATACCTGTTGGTCTAAGACATGTATATTGACAGATCTGAAATTACGCAATAGTCAAGGCAGATATTCATTGCTACTTAAACTAAGTTAATGCTTGGTTTTCAGACAATGCTTTTAAAGATTTGAAGATAATTGTGCAGTAGTTTCAGAGGTACATCTAGCCTCCCAGGCTTCAGAAAACCTGGGTTCCATGAGAATTTGAAATTCTGTTCTGTATTTTCATCTTTTTGATACGGATTCTCCTATAAAATTTTTGATCAAAATGTTCTACTGGATTTATGCACTTGTTCCTGGAGGCCATTGCATATATCTCATTTCCTTCTCCTTTCCTGACTCTCCTCTTTCCTCAGTTTTCCTAGGTGAATTGTTGGGGTACCCGCCCTAACACATCATCACAGTTCCAGTAGGCGCAATTGTACAGCGATAAGTAAAGATTATAGTAAAGTCATAGAGAGCATGAGAGAGAGAAGAGAGAAGAGAGATTGAAATAATGGAGTCAGACACATTTCATGGTAGCAATGCTCCCCTTAGCCTCACTTGGTGGTCCACGTGGAGAGAGGGGGAGAGGAAGGAGGACGGGGAAAGGGAACAGGAGTGAGGACAAGGGAGAGGAGAAGGGAAACCAAAGAGAGGCCAAGAGGGGAGTCCGAGAGAGCTCTTTATTGCTAACCCAGGCTTATATACCTTTGGGAGGGCACTCAAGCCCCCTAACTACAGGTAAAGGCATACATCACAGGAAGGGGTTGCACTATCGGTTATACAGCAATGAGAGGGGGACAATCTAGGGATATACATGAAATAGGAAGAGGAGGGATTGGGGGTATACATGTGACAAGAAGGGCAGATCCTAGATTCAGGATGGCAGCCTAACTTTGGATGTCACTGAGCCGTATGACCTGTTCTCTGGATCTCCATAGAAACCATTATCAGTAGGGTATAAACCCCAGCTACAGGAACCAAGCTAATGGTCCCAAGCCTTTAGGGAGAAGTAGTCCATTGTCCTCAACAGCAGGGAGTGGAAACTACCTGTGGTGGGACCAGACAGTAGTCTGGCAACTGACTGCCTTCAGGGAGGTAACTTGACAATCATTTACCATTAGCTGCAAGCAGTGTCCTAAGTCTAACATATATTTGGGAAAGATGACTTGGAAGAAATCTTTGTTTCCCACAGGTAATAGAGACCAATCATATCTTGGATGGCCACTTGAAAGCTTTTAAGACCTCCAGTACCATACAATGAACTAAGAGGTAGAATAGAAGCATTAAACATAATAAGCCAATTAATTGGCAAATGCCATGAAATTATGACCCTAATCTTTCAAACCAAGGAAATGAATCCTCTGGGGTGTTTGGTTATGGATAGAAGCATCTGTAGCTACTCTTTTTTTGGACATTGCTATAAATAGATCTTACACACTTGTGTGAATTAACTTGTACCAGGTGTACAACTTATTGTCAGCAATTACATTACTCAGTTCAGCAATCCAACCCTTAAAGCAGTTTTCTACCCATAAATTGAGACAGTGTTCCATAAGCAATACTCCTTCTCCCTCCTTTCTGCCCCTAGTAATCACTAATAAACTTTGGTATTCATATATTTCTACCTTCTTTTCTTTTTATATAAGTGAGGTCATACAATAGCTATTTGATTATTATTGATTTATTCCATTCAGCATAATGTCTTCAAGCTCCATCTAGATTGTAGTATATATGAAGGATAAGCACCCTGAGGTTAAGATATCAGGTAGAGAGAGAGTGTCAGCCTTTCTATACATCCCAGCATTCCTATGGAGGCACTCAGGCAGGTGATACATGAAGCCTTTGAGGCCACCTGACCCCTGGACTCCCATCAACTGATTGGAAACACACGAGTAAGCTAAGGGAATACCACATAGGACGGCTCAACTGACCCCTGCTCCAATTTCTAACCCATGGAATTTTCATCAAATAAGTGGTTGTAGCTTGTCAGTACATTTTAGGGTAGTTTATGTGACAACAGATGATGAATATAAGCAATTCTCTATCTAACTGCATCCAGTGTTAGACTGTTAGACTCCTTGTTAGAGTTGTATGTAGTTTAGGTACAGACTTTCAATTTAATGATTTTCTATAGACTCTCGGTCTCTAAATTCTTCACCTTCTAATCTTTTACTGATTTTACTACTAC